TGTCAAAAATTTGTGAAAAAAATTAAGAACCTTTCACCCTACAGTTACAACCTTACAAATTTGTGTCACCCCCCCCCCCCCCATGTGATGTCATTTATGGTTGGCACCTGAAACTCCCCTCAAAAGCCTCTTTCAGTTTACAAAAAGTTTTTAATTTTTAACCATTTTTTCCCCACTCAAATCATTAGACAAAGGAATTATAAGTTATCAATTTAAAGGGAAAAAAAACAATTTACCTATAATTTTTAATAAAATTAAGCAGAGCTCAAAGAAAATGTTAATGGGATATTGCTTTCACTTTTGGAAAATGAATTGATAGCTAAACTTGGCATAACAGGGCATTTCTAATTTCTACTGTTTTAATTCAAATATGGTAGTCACACTCACAGTGTGTTGTGTCATTTTTTTTAACATAATTTTTAAAAAATCTTGTACCTCAAAGTTTAGCCTATAGTTTAAATAAAAGACAAATGTCCAGTTCGAGTTAAAATATGGAAAATGAAATAGAGGGGACAAAACGTTAAATTTTCACACAAAAATAACTGTGTAACTATCATATTTTTCTTTGGGATGAAATTCATATTTTAAGTTTGAAATGATATTTAGTAATAAGGGTGAAAAAATTGTAAAAATATGATGTTCAGATCAGAGAAAAAACTAATAACACTTCACAATGTGCAGATTTGCAATTTGTAAGCAAGGGACAAATACAGAGAGTTCTCTGAAATCTCCTACCCCCCCACCCCCCCCCTTTCTCCTATTGTCTGTTATTTATTAGGGTAAATACCTCATTAAAAAATAAATTAAAAAATCCATCTCGAACTGGACCATTAACAATTTCAATATGAGTATGAAGACTAGTTGGTAAAGTAAAAGTAAAATCATAAGACCATAAGTCATCATAAGATAAAAATTATGGCTTGTTCATTGTTGAATTTGTTGTGGAGGAACTAACTTTGAAAGCTTATAACCTTACCCTTTCTTTCCCTTCTTCCCTTTCTTTCCCTTGCCTTTCTTTCCCTTTTTTGGCATGGTAAAAAACAAAACTATACGTTAAATATCGTAGAGTATTTCAATGCACCTCTACCCAAAGACTAAACGGAACGCGCCATTGCTTCCGTTGCTAAGCTCAATAACGCATTGGTTAATAATATTGGATAAGATTTCAAATCAATACTAAAATAACCCATTACTTTTTAAATTGAATGGTAGATTTAAATACATTTTACGGTGAAAAAAATTATATTAAAATTATTTTTCACATTAAATTATTCAGAGTTATAAAATGTATTTTTTTTTATCATGCCGATTATCCGCACAATCACTACTAAGAAGTATGCAATTAATTAAATTTCAAATAAAAATTGTCACTAATCTCCTTAGACTTATATAATATATATAT